TGACATAGAAATTCAAAGTCAAGAGATTTACATTTTACAATCGCTGCTTATTTGAATTGTCTAGCGCTATGCTATACGTGGCAATAATGTGATCGCGGAAAAACACTGCAAATCAGATGCATTAATTTGACCAAGCATCTCGCAAAAAAAGATGCTCTATTCATTGAAACATGTTGCTTCGCATACAGTAAGCACCAGTGATGAGGAACGAATCCTCTTTTCCCAAAAAGATATCGCTATTGTGTAGCTTACAAAAGTTACGAAATCAGCTGATACTTTCTTTGTTCCCTAATGCGACCTGTTTTTGTGTTGTAAATGATGAGGAAATCGGGCTGAAGCTTGAGGCAACCTATTCTATAGGTTTTTTGTGGCCCCATTTCTTACCATTATACAGATAAGTTTTGTGCTACAAATGCAAAAGTTGTCCTAGGCTATCGCATATATAAGATACTGTATTCAAAGAGGGCAATCTGTAAGAAAACAAAAGTTAAGTTGCCACAAATTTGGATAGAATTTGCTTCAAGGGGATTATTCGACACGCCAATTCACAATGCTCATCTCGCTTGGTAGTCGTTTTTGTAAACTTACAGAAAAACGTTAGGTATGCTTTTTTCCTTTTTGGCAACAAGTATTTATACTAAGTAATTATAAGTATTAGGTGGGTCCGAAAGTTCTGTCGTTTCATTTTCAAAAATTTGTAACTTTGCGCCGTTTCAACGGATTTGCTTGCTTGTTATTTTATCGGAAAGGATAAGTCTTTCGCTTTCAAACGCTGTTTTGTGCGGCTTCTGTTTCACACTGGATGCGGAAATAAAAATGGAAAACTAAGACCATATAAACTTTGACCATTTTGTGCTAAATCACCAAAAATTTGGAGCGCTGCAGAAAAACCTGAAAACTTCAGTACATATGTTTTTTGGCCTACTCCTTGCAACTGTGAAGAGTTTGTGCTGTTTGGACGCCTCTGTGAAAAGTTATGTATTTGAGAAAATTGACAAATTAATCAATTTTGGCGTTTTTCACAGTAAACTCATATTAACACGTTTCGGACCGCGAAATCGCGCGCGGCGAAAAAGAGTGTACTTTCAGCCGTTAGCCTACAAAGGGACCTGATTTTTCAGCCTGTGGGCCACATTTGTAATCAGCATGTCAGATAAGCTCCATATCCAAAGTTCTGAGTGAATTCGAAGTGTTTGAATTTTGTCGCTTGAAAGGGACCTTGGTGCTTTCTTGAAAGATAGGAACAAGAACTCAGATTCTAATAGTATTCAAAAGTATCTATGTTGTACACGGTACACATCAGTATTGAAACTACGGTTTTTCTCTTTGAATTCGAAGCAAAGGAAAGTTGCGACGTCGCACGCGTCGTTCGCGTCGCCGCACTTCGTTGCGACAGTTGTTCGATTTGTGCTCATATCTTCTAAACAAATATCGGCGGCACAACTCTACAGAGTCATTTGAAAAGTGAGAGCTTAGACCTTTCACTTAACAAGTCTAGACTGAAGGGAAACCTCCCGCAAACGCCAGAAACATCCCTCAAAGCAGCGTGCTGCACCATGTGCAGCACCGGTCCGAAACGTGTTAACTTTTCACAGAAACGTCCAAACAAAACCAGCTCTTTACAGTTGCAAAGGACAGGCTAAAAAACATATGTATTGACGATTTCAGATTTTTCTGCAGCGTTCCAGATTTTTGGTGACCTAACTTAAAATGGTCAAAGCTTATCTTATATATAAAGCTGAATGTCTGTTTGTCTGTCTGTATGTCTGTCTGTATGTCTGTGTGTACGTATGTTCCGAATAGAAAATTCCATTTCTGAACCGATCCGGACCAGACTTGGCACACATACACTACGGGCCCCGGCGGGTGTCATAGGCTACTTTTCGTCATCGATCGATATCGATTTTATCGATTTTTATCGATTTTTTTGCTGAGTTCACCTACGGGGCTGGGAGTTGGCACAGGGGGGTAATCGAGCATGGGGATTCCGAATACAATATTGGTTTTCAGGATTATCGATTACTTTTATCGATTTTATCGATTTTTTTGCAAAGTTTGAGCTACGGGGCTGGGAGTTCGCACAAGGGGGTAATCGAGCATGGGGATTCCGAATACAATATTGGTTTTCAGGATTATCGATTACTTTTATCGATTTTATCGATTTTTTTGCAAAGTTTGAGCTACGGGGCTGGGAGTTGGCACAGGGGGGTAATCGAGCATGCTGATCATCCCCAAGGGGGGTGATCAGCATGCTCGATTACACCCCTGTGCCAAATTCCAGCCCCCTAGCTCAAAATTTCAAAAAATCGATAAAATCGATAAAAGTAATGGACGATCTTGAAAACTAATATTATGTTCGTAATCTGCATGCTCGATTACCCCCCCCCCCCTGTGCAAACTCCCAGCCCCGCAGGTCAAACTTTACAAAGAAAATCGATAAAATCGATAAAAGTAATTGATAATCCTGAAAACCAATATTGTATTCGGAATCCCCATGCTCGATTACACCCCTGTGCCAAATTCCAGCCCCCTAGCTCAAATTTTCAAAAAATCGATAAAATCGATAAAAGTAATGGACGATCTTGAAAACTAATATTGTATTCGTAATCTGCATGCTCGATTACCCCCCTGTGCAAACTCCCAGCCCCGCAGGTCAAACTTTACAAAAAAATCGATAAAATCGATAAAAGTAATGGATGATCCTGAAAACTAATATTGTGTTCGTAATCAGCATGCTCGATTACCCCCCTGTGCAAAATCCCAGCCTCGCATTCAAAATTTACAAAAAATCGATAAAATCAATAAAAGTAATCGATAATTCTGAAAACTAATATTGCATTCGGAATCCCCATGCTCACTTCCCCCCCTGTGCCAACTCCTAGCCCTGTAGGTGAACTCTGCAAAAAAATCGATAAAAATCGGTAAAATCGACATCGATCGATAACGAAAAGTGGATTATGACACCCGCCGGGGCCCGAAGTGTATGTGTGCCAAGTTTGGTCCGGATACGGCGGAGCCGGGTAAGCCAGCTAGTAAAGGATAAAGGAGAAAAAATTCGGCATCTTCAATACCCTCTGGGGCATGCGCCGAACGCACACACTGACTTCATAGTCGAAGAGACAATTGTATGCGTGCGAGCCTAATACAGTGACTTGCGGGGGCCAGCCGTTTCCAAGTCAGTGCTTTTATCCTCCCAGATTACTCTGGTACCAATTTACCGGCCCCGGAGGGTTGAGGGCTTGGTTAGCCCAGGAGCGGAGATCGAACCTGTGTTCGATCTGGTCATAGCGGCGCCTTATACCACTACGCCACTCGTCCCCCAAAGCTTATATGGTTCCAGTTTTCCATTTTTATCTCCACATCCAGTGTGAAACGAAAGCCGGACAAATAGCATTTGAAAGCGAAAGACTTATACTTTCTGCTTATATTACAAGCAAGCAAATTCGTTGAAACAGCGCAAAGTTACAAATTTTTGAAAATGAAACGACAGAACTTTCGGACCCACCTAATACTTATATACTTGTTAAGCAGTCGTATCAAATCACTACACAATGTCTCGGCAAAATCTGACAATTCCGGCTTTCGGCACTGACATATCTCCGGAGCAGCTTGATGAACTTGACTCTTCCTTCAACTTCTTGCAATCCGTCTTAGTAGTCAACCTCTAGCTGAACTTCCCTTGCAGTTTCGTTTAGATGTTTTCATTCAGGTTGTGCACGGCCCCTTTCTGCTAAACAATTCTCGAATTTGACCGGACTCAAAAAATGCGCAGATTTCTCTCATATATCAAAATCAAACAGTTTGTGCGTACTTATGGCTCACTCCCTAATCTGAATGCCAATTCTGAACACAAAAACTCAGTAGAAGGAGCTAAACGAAAGGCGAATCACTGAATTATTGTACTTTTGCGTCGAAGCTGCTAGCTTTCTTTGTAATCTCCATATCAAACTCTGGTTTGAATATTACAAGTCTTAACTGGTGCATACAATTGCTTGTTAAAGAAATTTCGTGTGCCCAGCTCGACATAAAGTCGATGTTGCGCCGGAAAAGCCATGACGATGGGGACGAGCAATTCGAAACTCGTCCGCTCCTTGAAGACAAAGTCCCCAAGAACCGAATTTTTTGGGAGTTTTGAACAATTTCGAATTTTCAGCTGTAATCAGGGTCACGGAAAGGCCCCAGAATGGCAGAAACATGAGAGGCGAAAATTTGCCCGGACGCTGCCTTTAAGGGTAATTTAAAGTTACCAACGACCAGGGTGTTTGCAGCACATATGCCAGAAGCGGATCTTCATTGTTGCGTTGAAACTCGGAAGGGGATAGCGAATGGTTCGTAAATTAAAAAGGGAAGGAGTTTAATCAATATATATAGGCAAATAAAGGAGTTTGGTAAAAGTTTATGGCCAAGAATTCACAATTGCTTGGAATGGTTTTGTCCACACCCTACAACACAGTTTTCATTAAAACACATACATCTCCTTTCTTATGGCTACTATCATGATGAAATGTTATATATGGCAAACTTGAAACGATATCAGCACCTTTGATTTTGGAAGAAGGCAAAGCTTCTATGATTAATGAACGTCAAGAGCTTCAGTGGCCGAGAAGTTTTGTAAATGAGAAGGCTTGTTTAGTAAGGACCAGTCGTAAACAATATACACTGTAAAGAATGGTCCCTTGCCAGCTATTTGGTTTCCCCGCTGCGTTGACCCTGCACTTTGTTGATGCGGTAGTACCATACTAGTCTTGAAAGCTGTGTAACTTTTCTTAAGTAGATTTTTTGATTAAGAAGTCGTGTTGCCTTGAGGTGCACTTTTTATTGTTAATGATGACTATAGCTTGAAGTTTCTGTTTCATACTAGGCGCATGTCATGTGCATGAAATAAATAAATCGATGAACAAATTCAGTGATCACCCTGATCACTGAATTTGTTCATTCATCACTTTATCAGCAATATTTGCATCCACATACTATCAACATTCTCGAAACAAGTGCCTTTATTCGGTAAGGCAATCAAAGCATACAATGCGAAGGCAAGCTTATAGCGATCAAATGCAACAGCGAGCGAGATATTTTCCTTCTTTGCATTCGGATTCAAAACAAAATTGATGACTGCACTTCTTGCCGAGGTAACCAATTTTCTGCAAAAAATAATTTCAAGCTAATAATTTGCAGTGATCTCAAGATTTGTTTGCAAGTATCAGGTCCCCGACTAGGAGATTCGAGAAGGGTAGGCACCAGTGGCGGGGGAGACGGTCGAATGGCGCGTATTGATCGGTTTCGCTAATTAGAAAAAAGCAAGAAGAAAGTGCAAAATTAATTTAATATTTTCGGATTCCAACTAATGATCCTCCATTGCACTTTCTGATATGATGGCAAAGCATTTGGAGTTTAGAAACCTTGATTATATAGAGTACCATTCTCTTCTGGCAATGACGACTACCGGAACGCGCGCCTTTCGACATACACCCCCAGTGGCGGACCGAGGGGGGGGGGAGGGTCCCCTTCCCGAAAACGGGTCGCGAAATTTTTGCAAATTACTCACATGTTATAAAAATGTCTAGTTTATACTCGCAAATGATTAAAATACAAGTTGTTGCAAAAATAATGTCCTTTTTTAAGTTTACATTCCGAAAAACTTTCTTCCTTCAAAATTTCCTTTTTGAGAAAGATTTTGCTTATTATTGGAAAGCATTCTTCACGTACTTTCTAACAGTGGTAAAATTAAGCCTCTATCTTATCTGTGTGAAATTCACCAGCATCTGTACAGCTGTACTCAAAATAAATCGTTGCTTAAGCTCCCTTGGTTACAATTTAGGAGCAAATGAACGAATTCTTTTGAAAACAAAGTTACTGTGTGGGATAAATGTTTGTTTACCTATTGCATGTTTGAATAAATTTTTCGAATATATCTGGACTGAAAAATCGACACCTCAAAAATAGACACCTGCATGGCATTCTATGAATTAAAAATTTTCCCTGGCTAAGGCAATTGCCAAATTCTCGAGGTCAGGAGGTCTTGCCCAGAATTTTTGAAGAAAAACTTAGCTACTAATAAAAATTTTCGTAGTTTGGGGCCTCCTCGCCTACCACAAATAGGCTCAAAAAAGTGACAATTTTGAATTTCTATCTTCCTTTTCGCAGGTCCACTTTGTTAAAGTTCTTTCTGAACAAACGTATATTACTGGCTTGTGTCTACAAAATAAGCCGATTAGCAGCATAGGAACAAAATTTGAAGGGAGTTGTAATCTTTCAAAGAGAGGTTTTCAAAAGAAAACCTTTTGGTTTTTTAACGCATGATTTTCTTCCCGTTTGCGATATCAGCAAATGCAGGTGCGCGTTAGGTTACGAAACACTGCTTTTGATGGTCTTGATTGCATTCAAAAAATATGAAGACTGGACAAAGCTATAGTCTTACAAAGTAAAACTCTGCAAAACGGACATCACATTTGCAACAACCTTATAATTTTGAAAATACTTTCGAAAATTCAAACAAGCCTTGTAAAAATTGGGGCGTGGTTGCCGTCACGCCCTTTTTTCTATGATTGCGGGGTTATGGGATCCCAAAAAATCTGAGAAGCATTTCAAAGAATCGAAATGCTTTTCAAAATTTTCTTCTCAGAAAATAAGGCTAAGACGTTGGCTAACGTCACGCACTCTTGTTCAAAAAATTCTTGTCCCCCCCCCCCAAGCGGAAATCCTGCGATCGCCACTGGTAAGCGCCATTGTCTAATAAGCTTGTGTCTGTCAATTTTTAGGAAGACACAAGAGGGGCAGAGAAACTTATTGCATAGAACTTATTGTTTTGCGTTTTGAGACGAAGAATAGTGGCAGTGTGCAAAGCAAGGATCCTGTTATGGGAATTTCATTGCAATTTTGCGTTTTTTCGCGCTGTAAAAAATATCTCAAAGTCAAAGCTACAATCACAGCATCGCAACAGAAACAATAATCACAGTTCCAGATTACATCATGATTGTGTCAACGCGGCCTCACTAACAATTGAGCCAAGTAGGATAGGTGTGCCTAAATCTGAGCTTTGCAAACACCATTTTTGACAATGTGATACTTCTAAGCCTTCAGGAGATAATAAGTAGCTTTGGAACAGCGTTTCACGCCGCACCCATTATTGTGCAGCTTGTTGAAAATTAGCCACTTCGACTTCTGATCATTCCCTTGCGAGCAGGGCTCGGCACGAGCTGGAACCAAGAAGTTTTCAAAACGGAATCCCACAAAATATTTTACAAAGTCCGGTTTGACATTTTCAAAGTCTCTCACCCCTTTCTACTTGCATTTCTACTCTTTATTTTTTGTGGTCTGTGGCCCAACAAGCCGAAAACGAGAAAAAAACCTTTACCTACCTTTTTACCCCTTCACCTCCCCCCCCCCCCTACTTCTTCCCTTCTACGAATGATACGAACGAATAAACAGAAGGACAGCGAAAAAAAGAGAAAGAAAAGACCAAAGCAAGCATAATGTACATTGAGCGCCAGCGTGAATGATTTGCGCGCCGTTGCTTGAAGGCAGTGACCCGGGAAAATTGCGACTGCAAACTTTTTTCAAATACATGGCCTTCTGGATGCTAAGTTCTGGTGTGCTTGAAAAGTCAAAAAATGCTTTTTACGGCATTTTCCTACCTTGAAGGTAGCTGGAGGGGTGGGCGGGTGATTTTCGCCATAGACAGCGACTGGCTACAGGAAACTGTAAGTCCACCCATTTTGGCGGTAATTGGCTGGTGGCCCAATTGGCAGAAATCTGTCGCCAATCCCGTCCAGCTATCTCCAGGGGTAGAAAAAACCGTAAAAAGTACCTTATTTTCAGGTGTATAAGCTGCGGGGAATTTTTTTGTGTGTAAATGACCAGCCCAAACACGCTAAAATGACTTCGCGACCAAAAGGCCATATATCGTGCTGCATATTGCTTAAGAGAATCGTGCGGCATAAGGATCGCTTTCCGAAACACAGTGAAGCCGCTTAGCAGCTTGTTTAAAAATTCAAACAAGTGCGGCTTATACACCTGAAAATAAGGTACTTTTTACGGTTTTTTCTACCCCTGGAGATAGCTGGACGGGACTAGCGAGAGATTTCTGCCAATTGGGCCACCAGCCAATAACCGCCAAAATGGGTGGAGTCACAGACTCCTGCAGCCAGTCGCTGTTTATGGCGGAAATCATCCACCCACCCCTCCAGCTACCTCCAAGGTAGGGAAATGCTGTAAAAAGCAATTTACTCTCAAATCATACCACTGGACTCAGCGCATCCAGAAGGTCATGTATGTGTGAATAGATCGCAGTCGCAATTTTCGCGGGTCACTGCCTCTAAGCAAACCGACGCGCGAATCACGCTGCCGCTCAATGTACGTTGTGCTTGCCTCGGTCTTTTTCTCTTTTTTCGCCGTTTTTCTGGTTATTCGTCCGTATCATTCGTAGAGGGGGAGAAGTAGGGAGAGGGAGGGGGGAGGGAGAGGTGAAGGGGTAAAGATAAAGAGAATTGAATAAAAGTTTTTCCTCGTTTTCGTTTGCCCCTTGCACAGACCCACACGAAATAACGAGCAGAAAGGCAAGTAGAAAGGAGTGAGAGAAGGAGAAGCCGTAAAAAGTACATCCGACATTCCAAGCACAGCGCTGGACTTCAGAAGGCCATGTGGAAAGCTTGCAGCCATAATTCTCCTGAGCCACTACCCTTGAGAGCGTGCTCTGCGACCGGAGCAGATCAGCAGCGTGTCGGCAGTGAAATTTTTCTGAGGGTTAGAAAACAGCAAGCCCATAGAAAAAAAATCTGCGAAACAGTTTTTTCTGTATGCAACCTGTTGCAGTGAAAATTTGTAAGGAAATAAGCGATTACGTAAGGGAAGGCCCATTTTTTGGGGCCATAGTTGGAGTCCCCCAAGCGCATGTGCACACCAGTTTTAGTACGCCTACTCTCGATACCGTTTTTTTAACAACCCGCCAACACGCCGATGGCATACCAGCGGCATGCTAGCAAACAGCAACGCAAAGAGTGGCATGCCGGCAGCGCGCCGCGCGCTTGTGACATGATTCGTGAAGACAATATCCCCTTCGTTTTCCTGCTCAAGATATCCAGCTTGACCCAGTTCTAGCGCCGAGCCCTTATCGTAGGTCTATCGCGTAAGCACACCATCTACTATGCGAACATCGCTCCAGCTAGGAAAGTGGAAATTACCCGGTCTATGGTGAAAACTACCAAATACTGTGTTTTTACTACAAATGTGTTGCATGAAAAATCGTGAGTCTTAGAGCGGCAAACCTTTTAGACCGAGCTGTCAATGAGTCTAACAATAGGCTTGACTTTTCTAAACAGCTGCAACAGTGACTTCTTTACAATCGAATTGCATCAAGCTTCTTACCGTTTTATTTTTACCACAGGCTTTCTCGTCGTTTGCAAACAGTTCGGCATTGAATTCATCTGAAAATCTTAACGGTAATTTAAATGCTCGAATCTTTAGGAATAGGCTGGTAAATCTGTAAACATAAAAAGGCCCTAAATACTTCAAATCTGGTGCTGTACTGCAACGCATGCTAGCCAACTTTTCATATGAAAAAAATGTAAACTGGGTAAGAGATTTGTGACATACATCTGCAATGCAGTTGCAAAGTATCCAAAAAATAATTATGAATTACATGGGTGCCTCAAAAAGTGCACGCCGTTTGATCCTCTACTTGGATGTCTTTCGCCGATCCTTAGGTACCATTCTGTTGAGCGGGGTTCAACTTAGATTTACAGTACGGAGCGAATCATAGATCGCTATTCATTATTGTAGAATTACGGTAGAAACTTTGAAAGAATTTTGGGCCATTGGAGGCCATATGCTTCCTCGGAATAAAACCAACAGGATTAATGGAAGCCGCTGATATCAAATATAAAATTTTCCTTCACTATGACGTTTCTTTTCAAAGTTATCCAAGTAAACCGTAATAACCGGGCTCCTAGCATTTGTCAGAGATGTGATTAAACCGTCAAAAAAGTCGAAAATGCTCGCAAAAGATTTACGACGAAATCAGCGTGCGCAAAAACCTCAGTACACGATTTTCAGATATTTTGTAAAAAATTTGTCGGATGACATATTTCGCAGGGTTCATACGCTGGAAGTTCTTACCGTAATCCTACAGTAACGAAATGGGACCGGTGATTCGCTCCATGCTGAAATCTAAGTTTAACCTCGCTCTACAGAATGGTACCTAAAAGGCGGCGAAACACATTGAACAAGGAAGTTACTAACGATCAAACAGTGTGCACATTTTTTTGGGGCACCTTGTATGAGATCAAGGGCTGCAGCATTATTAGGTGTGAAGTTTGAAAAAAATACAACGGAATTTCATCCTCAGTCAAATAGCCGATCTGACTTCGCCATAGTATTTGGAGTGATTGATGCCCGTGTAATCAAAAATTTCATATGTAAAGTCGAATGTCTCTTTGTCTGTGTATCTCTCTGTGTACGTGATATGTTCCGGATAGAAAATTCCATTTCTGATTCGATCCGAACCAAACTTTGCACTATACACTTCGGCGGACAGGTGTTATAGACTGCTTTTCGTTATTGATCGATATCAATTCTACCTATTTTTCGAGAAGTTCTAGCTACGTGGCTGGATGTTCTCATAAGGGGTAAGTGAGTATGGTGATTACCTCAAAGGTACAATTGTCCAACTGTCTGAAGTTGCTTTTAAAGCGAGAAAGTCGCTTCGAAAATCCTTTGAAAAAAAGATTTGTCACATTACCTCCTCTCTAGCAAGTGGGCGGTACGTTTGTCCTACCCATCAGTGATTTCGCCTAGCAGGCGCAAAGATAAAAAAATCGATAAATTATAGCGTTCCTCGGCGTCTCTGCCCCGCGATGAGCCCGCAGCTGACGCCTGCGCAAGGAGTGCTCGTCTTTTGCAGATTCTGAACGGCGTCCAAAACTCAATAATTTGAAAGTGTTCAGTTTTATGCCTGGATTCGGACTCAGCGTGCGCAAGAGGTGCTTAAAAAGACAATAACTCAAAATCAAGAATTTAGGTGGACGGTGCCTCTAAAGGTTCAAACTGCTGCACTGACCGCTGCAGACCGCACTGACAGCAGCAGCCTGCAGCAGACTGCAGCTGAGTGCAGATGGCAGCACTGACTACGGCCGTAGCGTTTTCGCGTAAAAAATAAAAATCTATTGAAAAGTCAAAAGTGAGACTTTTGATCTTCCTAGGCGTCATTAAAATTCTCGTCGTAATCGAAATCGTTTTTTCTTTTTACGTGAACACGCTGAGACCGCTGCAGTCAGCTGCAGTAGCTGCAGTCCGTTGCGGTCAGTGCGGTCTGCAGCAGTCTGGTGCAGTCTGCTGCAATGTGCTGCGGTCAGTGCGGCAGTATGAAACAACCCCAAACCTTGCGATGTAGAAAATCTGACTGGATGAGTTGAGCGCAAAGCTACTCGGATTCAAAATCACTCCACTTTGAAGAAATTTACAGGATGCATCAAAAATTTGCGTTCAAGAAAATGCGCGGTCAATCGGATGCTAAATTTAAGCGAGTTTTAACGCCACGACGTACTCAAAATTTTTTCACGTTCTTGAGTGGTATCGTAGTATTTTATCAAATAAACAAAAATTTCCGAACGCTTGCTACGCATGCGGGGTGACGAATGACTACTCGGTGACGTAATTACGTGATCATGTCAACAATATTGATTCACCTGATATTCATTCTATGCCTCCTCCTATAAGCGCCCCTTCTAATACTTTATTTGTGTAAATACTCATCGGACTGTGGGCCACTCTTTGAGATGTATGGACAAATGCGAGGTCCCTTTGCAGGAACATAAGCAATTTAGCATTTGAAATTGACAGGGATGGCTTGGCATTCATAGGAATAACCGAAACTTGACTAAATAAAAATATTAGCGATAATTCACTTCTCGGCACCCTCGAAAGTTATGTCATCCATAGGTGCGACTGAGCAAGTAAAAGAGGAGGGGGGAGTTGCAATCACTGTTAGAAACAAGCTTAATCCTCGCTTGTTCTCACTGAGTCCGAGCTTGATAGTTATGAAATTTTATGCACTGACATTACGTCCTATACTATCCGAATCATACTTCTGTACAGGGCCCCCTCGTGTAGTACTAACCGAACAAATGGTCAAAGCGATCACCGATCTCTTGGGTTGCAGAAATTCCTTGTTACTTTTGGGGGACTTCAACTTGTATTGATTGAGCAGACCAGTATGCAAGAGCTAACAGTGCAATTTCAAGGACCTTCTTGGAAATGTGCCAAATACTCGCCGAGGGCAGACGGGAGGGCGGAAAATACGCTTTGCTGATATTTCGCATTCCGCTCGCAGATTCCAGTCAAATGGTCGGTGAGTTTTTGAAAGACCGCCTGTTGAATCTTTTTCCGCTCGTGTCTTTTGCAGATATATTGCTGAATCTCTGAGAAATCGAGAACTCAGCAAGCGGAGTCCTGATTGAAAAGTCCTGATTGCTTTCCGAAAAATCCGCGAGCGGGGTACAAGAAATCAGCCGTCTATTTTTGCGGTGCCCCCTGCCCCCGGCGATTGTCTGAGGATACAGAGTGCCCCAAAGAGAGTGCACACTGTTTGATCGTTAGTAACTCCCTTGCTTTCATGTCTTCTGCCGAGCTTGAGGTACTGTTCTGCAGAGCGAGGATAAATTTAGATTTACAGCATGGAGCGAATCGCTAATCACTTTTCATTACTGTAGGATTATGGTATCAACTTTCAGCATACGGTGTCACTGTGGAATAGGCCTTTTGATGGAAAAATTTCAAAAAACTCTGAAAATCTGTGTAGCGAGGTTTTCAGGCACGCTAATTTCACTACATAACATTCCACCAGTTTTTCGAGCTTTCTTGATGGTATAATCACATTTCTGACGAACATTGAAAAACCATTTGTTACCCTAAATCTGAAATAACTCATGAAAGTAACATTGTCCTGTCCTGCAGTTTTCATATTTAGAATCAGTGACTTCGATTAACCCAGTTTAAGAGTTTCTGGCTTGTCTGGCTTTCTTTTTGAGGCAAAAAACCGCTTTAAATAGCTCAAAATTCTCCTCGAAGTTCCTACCGTAATACTACAGTAATGAAGAGCGGCTGATAATCCGCTCCATGCTGTAAATCTAAGTTGAACCCTCTTAAGAATGGTACCTCACGTTCGGCGAAAGACATGAAAGCAAGAGAGTTATTAACAATCAAACAATGTGCGCATCTTCTTGGGACACCCTGTATATGGCTGGTCCCAAAAAGTGCGTTTCAGTACTCGGAGGAATAATACTTTCGACTTGATTTTGAGCAATGACAATGAGCTAGTCGGCGAAGTACAAATAAGGGCTCCCATAGGTTCAAGTGACTACGCGACAACTTGGTTCCCCCTCAATTATTTCACGTTCGTACTGAATGTATCAGACGTAGAGACTACAGGAACGCCAACTAGAAAATTCAATTTATTTGGCCAGTATTGATTGGCATGGTTCTTTCAGCTCAGCCAATGACGCAAACGAAATGTTTGAGTTATTCTTGTTTGTAATTCACCATGCAATTGATTTGTATGTCCCCTTAGTTTTGGTACCACTGCAAACAGCTAACTTACCTGGTTACTTGAGAACTTTGCTTAACAGAAGGGAGCGCGCATGGCACCAAGCAGTTCGTAATGGTAACTTTGAAAGTTGGAATGAATTTGATAGAGTGAATTTAGTATTTTCTAAGCGGCTCAAAAAGCACAATGCATCTGTTGAAATGAAATCTGTTAACTCCGGCAAAAAAAATCGTTGTTTTTCAACTTGATTAGTTCGAGACTCAAAGACAAAAAGAAAATTTTATAATTCTGACGGACAAGTGGGTCAGTAATATCAAACGATCTTGAAGAGGCTGAACTTTTTGCAGATGTGTTTGGGAATTCTTTTGGCGTTTTACAAAGCGGATTACTATCCCCTATTCTATTCAAAATCTAACGTATAAGATTCCAGCCAATCCTATTCGTATGGGTGTCTTCTGTTGCGCTTTCGCCGACGATTTCAAACTATATACTATCGTAAGAGATAATTCTGGATACAATTTATTGCAAAACGCACATAGCGAAATTCATAAATGGTCGCTGAAATGGTCGTTACCTATCTCTAGGGAAAAAACTGAAGTATAGGCGCCGTAAAACCTAATTGCCCGCGCCGTGCCTTGGACACTAGCGTAAGCGAGCGGTCGTCGCGAACGACTGTCGGCGTTCACTATATTCCAGCATATCTTTCTTAAGCTTTCATGTTGTTTTCATCAGTGCAAGGTGTATCTTGACGAAAGCTCCCTTCACAAGTTTAAAAAAATATGTGTGGAAAGGGTGCGCGCTCATTGTCGCTCGCAAAAAGCCCGTAGCGCTTCGGGACCAAACGTTCCCAGCCGCGCCGCGCCTTGGTGTTAAAAGCGACGCGTGGGCAATTGGATTTTACGAGGCCTGTACTTCATATTACCCCGAGGAACTACAACTCAAAATTCCAGTACTATTTGGATGATGCTCACCTTCAAGACGTAACACAATAGCAGATAGCCATATGTACGTAAAGCCGCTGATTACTTTGAGAAAGCTCAAAATACTTTCACCACTAAACTCTTTATACGCAAGATTGGCTATATCTATGATTTGACACCAAGTGGTAAGATACGCAATATGAATTTTAAACTCTCCACGCTTGCTTATAGAAGATGCAAATTTGATCTACTAATGGCGCATAAGATTGCATATGGTAAGTGTGGTTTAACCAAGGTATTCTTCCCTACCACAATTTCCACTACGAGGAAGGGGGGCTATCGTAAGTTGAGTATTCCCAGATCCAAATTAAAGATCCGCAGAAACTTTTTCATTTGTCGTTTTGTTTTTGATATGGAAAGCTTCAACAGCGAAGGACTGTTTCCTGCAAAGTTACCTCAATTCAAGACCGTCTTGAAAAATTATGTGCAGTCCGGCATCAGTACTATGACTAACACAGTCCTTCTGCTATTACTTGACTACATGTTTGTTTCGTTTTGTTCTTTTGTTGCGTTCGCTCTGTTTTTGTTTTGAAATTTTGTTATACTGTTGTTTTAACATAGGTTGAAAAGTAATGTGATAAATGAAGTGAAATGAATGAAATTACCATCAAAAATTTGTGAAAGAACGTGTTCAAGCCAGCGTGAATCAACGGGCTCGAACATGTTCCTCCACCAATTCTAACAGTAAACCAAAACGCGTTGAAACTCAATGATGAACTTGTTAATGAAGTGAAAGCAAGGCGTGCTCGCATCTCTTAGTCAGAGAATGAATGATATATGAAGTAGCGTGTATTGCCAGTTCTTTTCTTGTATTACCTATCACACTTATGCTATGTTTAAATCTTACAAGCTTCTAATTTACATGAAAGGAAGTATATAAAACTTCTGGCATAACATCACAGGATAGTTGCAGCCGTGCATTTGCTCCTTATCGAAAATCCAAAGTAAACAAGTTTTTGAATGACCTACGTTATGAAATTCAAAATTCAAAATTCATTTGCATGACTGACTTAAGAAATTCCCTTCAGTTATGCATAAAATTGATGATGTCTCGAGTAATAGCAATTTTTGGTATAATTCAAATGAAGACAATGAAAATCATGAGTGTGATACTAAATGCGATAGTTGGAGTCTATATTATTCAAGATATACCAAAAAATGTGCTTACTGTTCGATTGTTGATAACTCTCTTGCCATTGAGCCTTTCGTGAAGCATTAGGTAGCATTTTGTAGAGCTGGTTTTAACTTAGCTTCACGGAGTGGAACAAATTATCGTTTTCTCTTCATTATTGTAGGAATAGGGTAGGAACTTTGGAAACAATTTTGCGTCATTGAGGATCTATTAGGTCATTCGGAAAGTTTTTTCGTTTTCGCACCTCCAATTTCAAACGAGCATAATTTTTTCCAGATTCAACCTTTTCCCATCAAATAGATTGCGTTGAGTTCAGCAAATTTCTGCCAGCACTCATGTAGTTCTCTTGCACTTCTTTCTTGCGAAATTATCTCAGAGGAATCAACAAAGCCTAAAAAGGTGTTTTTGATCAGCTCATCTTTATTAGGTCCTATTATTTTTTGATAGGCAGGGAGGAATTAGAAAATTTGGCGATTGGTAAAGGAAGGTCTAAAGAGTTTGAAAAACAAATAGGAACCTCGATGCGCAGTCAACTCCTTTTGTAAGAGCCACTTTTTTTACATATGGTTTGGCGGAGTCATGGGCGTGGATGGCATCTCTCATAGCTTATACGTGCAAATCTGCTCAGTTTTGAAATTTTGACAACCGGTCTTCGAGCGATATCACACTACTTTGCTCTTACAGTATAGTTGCATCTTAGCAAGTTTATAGCGTACAAGACCAGCAGGATTACATTAATTTGAGTACACCAACCTTTTGGAATGACTGATTGTTCTGGCCATGCTTTCAATGCTTATTCCAAATGATTTACCACAATGTCGCTTCTTGTAGCCGCACTTGGCCAATTTTTTGCTGTAATCAATAACCCGAGCCAAACAAGGACTGCTCCATAAAAGTACAAGCAACGAAAGCAGAATCAATGCGCCCTCAATCTGCGAGTGCGACAATTTGTGAGGTACATGTCACTGAAATTTTTCGGTAATGCAGCTTCAGCGAAGGTGGCTTCTAGCGGGGTTATATGACACTTCAAGGAGTGCTGATAATTTTACGCAGCCACTCAGACAATCGCCGGGGGCAGGCGGGCACCGGAAAATACGCGTTGCTGAAATCTCGCATTCCGCTCGCAAATTCCAGGAGAATGGTCAGCGGATTGTTGAAAGACCGCCTGTTGAGTTTTTTTCGCTCTTATCTTTTGCACATATACTGCTGAATCTCTGAGAAATCGAGAACTCAGCAAGCGGCGTTCCGAAAAATTCTGATTGCTTTCCAAAAAATCCGCGAGCGGGTGCGAGAAATCAGCCATCTATTTTTCCGGTGCCCGCCTGCCCCCGGAGATTGTCTGAGCATATTTGCGAATTGCTCTAAAGGACCCTCTGAGATGCTCGTTTATATGGCAGGAACACCTTCCAGGACACTGAAAATTATTAGCTTTCACTTCTCTAGATCTAAACTTTCTGACGTAAACTGGAACCTACCTCAAGAAAGACGTAGTCTTTGCAAATGCATTGCGCACAATGAGGTTCCCTTTACGGTCTTACGCTTAAGTTTAAGCTTAGAGAATACAATTAGTCGAAAATCGCGTTTTCGTATGTCGAATTTAGAGCCGCGTAAACTTCCCTACAAAGCGTTTTCTACAACTTCGGTGGGATCCTCAGAAACTAGAAGACTTCCTCAACAGATCCATGCATAGCAACCCCTATCAGTCCTCTGGCATCCTCTCACGCTATGGCACGAACATCAAAGGTGCAAAAAGCGAAGAAACCTTTCCAAATGACCTAATATATCAGCTAAAAAAGGACTAAGAAAGCTGAATCTCACAGTAATCTAATCAGTGTCGCTGATCCCAAATATGAAACTCGTACTTTACCGAATGTTTTTTATAATTCCGGCCAGATATAAGGTAGAGACGAATTCGTGGTATTCATCAAAATTTGATTAGGTTGTTTAAAAAGCTCTGCGAATACACAAAAACTTATTTTGTATAATCAGCATGATGAGAACCTTGTAACACAAATTTGCAATTTTTTGAAGATTTTTTTGAACGGTCTACCTCACACTGGCACTTTATGCTGAAAGTCTCTACCGTAAAATTACAGTAATGAAGGAAGATCGGTAATTCGCTCCATGCTGTTACTCTAAGTTGGGGCCAGCTCTACAAGTTGTTACCTAATCCTTCCCGAAAGATTGCATGACAAGAGGGATATTAACAAGCAAACAGTAGGCACATTTTTTGGAACATCCTGTACTTATTTCCTCACAAATTAGCAAAGTCCTTATCGTCATTGTTACGTCGCGAGAAGCGCTGTAGCGGAATTAGCAAAAAAGGAAATCTTCACTGCTCTATGCATAAACGAACATTTTGAACTATAGTACATTGACTATAGTACATTTGATGTGAGCTCGAGTGGTCGCTGGCAAATAGGTGTTTGCGTCGTAATTAATGCGGTTTTACTCACCGAGGGCTTTTTTATCGCAACAATCAGCTTTGTTCGGATTCGAGGGACCAAGACGATAGCATTTTGTTCCATTAGGACATTTGTCCTTACGTCCATTGCATTTGCCAAAAGATTTGTCTTTTCCCTGGCAATGGTTGAAATGTTCTGAAAATCACAGAGTTAAAAATTTCTCAAACCATCATACCAAGTAGTTAATATGAAGAATTGCATAGCAGTGTAATTTCCGTTGAACAAAAAGGCAGTGTTAATGTGGATAAACCTCGTGCACTGGATTTTGGAGAGCACACATGAGTCCGAACTTGAGTCCCAAACGCTACGCCTGATTGCCATTTTTAGCATTGTGAATACCTCGAAAGATGTTTGAATTTTCAAATGCTCGGTGACCCTTATCCAATTGTTCAGAGGTTAGAGCACGTAATGTCTGATTATACTTGATCAAACAAGTTTTCCAATTATTTGAGTAATCTGTGAATCAATTAAATCTTATATATAAAGCTGAATGTCTGTTTGTCTGTATGTCTGTCTGTCTGTCTGTCTGTCTGTATGTATGTCTGTGTGTACGTATGTTCCGAATAGAAAATTCCATTTCTGAACCGATCCGGACCAAACTTGGCACACATACACTTCGGGCCCCGGCGGGTGTCATAGGCTACTTTTCGTCATCGATCGATATCGATTTTATCGATTTTTATCGATTTTTTTGCTGAGTTCACCTACGGGGCTGGGAGTTGGCACAGGGGGGTAATCGAGCATGGGGATTCCGAATACAATATTGGTTTTCAGGATTATCGATTACTTTTATCGATTTTATCGATTTTTTTGCAAAGTTTGAGCTACGGGGCTGGGAGTTGGCACAGGGGGGTAATCGAGCATGGGGATTCCGAATACAATATTGGTTTTCAGGATTATCGATTACTTTTATCGATTTTATCGATTTTTTTGCAAAGTTTGAGCTACGGGGCTGGGAGTTCGCACAGGGGGTAATCGAGCATGGGGATTCCGAATACAATATTGGTTTTCGGGATTATCGATTACTTTTATCGATTTTATCGATTTTTTGCAAAGTTTGAGCTAGGGGGCTGGGAGTTGGCACGAGGGGGTAATCGAGCATGCTGATCATCCCCAAGGGGGTGATCAGCATGCTCGATTACACCCCTGTGCCAAATTCCAGCCCCCTAGCTCAAAATTTCAAAAAATCGATAAAATCGATAAAAGTAATGGACGATCTTGAAAACTAATATTGTGTTCGTAATCTGCATGCTCGATCACCCCCCCCTGTGCAAACTCCCAGCCCCGCAGGTCAAACTTTACAAAAAAAATCGATAAAATCGATAAAAGTAATGGACGATCCTGAAAACTAATATTGTGTTCGTAATCAGCATGCTCGATTACCCCCCTGTGCAAAATCCCAGCCTCGCATGTCAAAATTTACAAAAAATCGATAAAATCAATAAAAGTAAGCGATAATTCTGCAAACTAATATTGTATTCGGAATCCCCATGCTCACTTCCCCCCTGTGCCAACTCCTAGCCCTGTAGGTGAACTCTGCAAAAAAAATCGATAAAAATCGGTAAAATCGACATCGATCGATAACGAAAAGTGGACTGTGACACCTGCCGGGGCCCGAAGTATATGTGTGCCAAGTTTGGTCCGGATACGGCGGAGCCGGGTAAGCCAGCTAGTATCTTATAGACTCGTTCCCACTAATCTTATATATAAAGCTGAATGTCTGTTTGTATGTATGTCTGTATGTCTGTCTGTCTGTCTGTCTGTCTGTCTGTCTGTATGTGTGTACGTATGTTCCGAATAGAAAATTCCATTTCTGAACCGATCCGGACCAAACTTGGCACACATACACTTCGGGCTCCGGCGGGTGTCATAGGCTACTTTTCGTCATCGATCGATATCGATTTTATCGATTTTTATCGATTTTTTTGCAGAGTTCACCTACGGGGCTGGGAGTTGGCACAGGGGGGTAAGTGAGCATGGGGATTCCGAATACAATATTGGTTTTCAGGATTATCGATTACTTTTATCGATTTTATCGATTTTTTTGCAAAGTTTGAGCTACGGGGCTGGGAGTTGGCACAGGGGGGTAATCGAGCATGGGGATTCCGAATACAATATTGGTTTTCAGGACTATCGATTACTTTTATCGATTTTATCGATTTTTTTGCAAAGTTTGAGCTACGGGGCTGGGAGTTCGCACAGGGGGGTAATCGAGCATGGGGATTCCGAATACAATATTGGTTTTCGGGATTATCGATTACTTTTATCGATTTTATCGATTTTTTTGCAAAGTTTGAGCTAGGGGGCTGGGAGTTGGCACAGGGGGGTAATCGAGCATGCTGATCATCCCCAAGGGGGTGATCAGCATGCTCGATTACACCCCTGTGCCAAATTCCATCCCCCTAGCTCAAATTTTGCAAAATCGATAAAATCGATAGAAGTAATGGATAATTCCAAAAACTAATATTGTATTCGTAATCTGCATGCTCGATTACCCCCCTGTGCAAACTCCCAGCCCCGCAGGTCAAACTTTACAAAAAAATCGATAAAATCGATAAAAGTAATGGACGATCCTGAAAACTAATATTGTGTTCGTAATCAGCATGCTCGATTACCCCCTGTGCAAAATCCCAGCCTCGCATGTCAAAATTTACAAAAAATCGATAAAATCAATAAAAGTAACCGATAATTCTGAAAACTAATATTGTATTCGGAATCCCCATGCTCACTTCCCCCCTGTGCCAACTCCTAGCCCTGTAGGTGAACTCTGCGAAAAAATCGATAAAAATCGGTAAAATCGACATCGATCGATAACGAAAAGTGGACTGTGACACGCGCCGGGGCCCGAAGTGTATGTGTGCCAAGTTTGGCCCGGATACGGCGGAGCCGGGTAAGCCAGCTAGTGCACAATAAAAGAGAATTCTCTCAACTTACTTACAACCACAGTAAAATCATAACAGTCGCAGATATTATTGAAAACTCAACTGGTTTCTATATATTAAAATCAATTTGCGAAATATTGTGGAAACAATTTGGGTAGATAAAAATTGGGGTTTTGTAAACTGGAAATTTTCTTTTGTTGTAATTGGTTGAACCAATCGCACAACTTTTCCTGCTTTAAAATAATAACAGTATAGTGGGAAGGTAGCCATTTACAGGCCGAAGCAACTGAAACATTCCTTGTAAGGTGAAGCTTAAGTGCACATCAATAGTTTCTTTTGGCACTCTGCTCTAAAGGCAGTGGCTAGGCAAATCCTCGAACTGAAGTTTTTTCGCTTACCTGAGGTAAGACGCTTTGATTTCGAAGATACACCTTGAAGAGTTCGAAGCCAAAAGCCAGCATCTTTCTCATTTTGAATTTGGATGAATGGGACTACTCCCAGCCATGGTTAGAGATGTAGAGTCGTTGCGGGACCCTCATGCTTATGACATTGCGGCATACCGTCTCTGACGATAGGAGGAGGACCGCAAGCTCATCCGAGCGCGTGTAAGAATGGCTCGCGCACGGGTTTATGAGCGGTTTTCTAAGCAGGGGCAGCATGTAGTGCGCTCGGACCTACTCTGTTCTGAGTTTGGGAGGCAACCTTCATCTAAAAATTTCAAGTTTGATTTTGTCGAGCCACTGCCTTTAAGAGAGTCTGGACTTGCACGGACTGAAGTTGATGGCCTTTTGTGTTCATTGAACTTACGGGCCCTCTGTCGCGGCTCGCGATCGACCGCTCCTCACAGCATGTGGCCGGGAGCACCGTGTTGCCGCGCAGTTCGGTCGTGAGCACGGTCGCCGCTCTTTACGGCGGCTACCTTGTTCGCTTCCGGACCACCACGTAGGCACGCCCCCAGCCACCGCCATGAATAGCGCGTACGCGCGCCATTGCGACCTCTTTCGTCTTATCATCTTACTACTATCGTCGTACCGCCTTTGTTACTGATTGGTTGGGTTTCCACGTTATCGCCGTCGTGTCTACGTCCCCGTGCCTCGCGCGATTGGGTGGATCGTTGATGGATTGTTTGGATGTATGCGCGAGGATAGAATTCCAGGATGATGAACACCACGAAGCGCCTTGGTTGCGCAGGACTTGTCGGGAGCTTGGCTCGATGTAGCTGATCAACATCATGGGGTCGGTGTTGCCGTGCCGTCGTTGCTGCCTTGGGGGCGCGCGGCCGGCCTGTGGGTAGCTCCCTTGGATGTCGGGAGAGAGTGAGAGTGTGCTAGTGTGTGAGCGTGAGCAAGGTAGAGTCCCCATCGGTAGCCCGGGGTCCTTTGGGGACAGGAGCTGAGGCGCCAGGCAGTCGAGCGCTAGGCGACGGGGCGCAGAGCTCACCGAGCCGCAACACCCTCAAAGCAAGGAGAGAGCACATCGCTTTGAAAAAGCTTGACTTTTAGAACATTAGCATTTATGGCGTTGTAAAACGCCCCTTAAACATGGTCTTTCCTGAAAAAAATGGAGTAAACCCTACTTCTGCACGCCCAATAACATTGGGCTGTATCAACAAAGTTGTTCTTATTCCCGCCGCATCCAGTGTACTTGAAAGCAAAGCACGTTTTTGTCTCCACATCAAAGAAATACTAAAATCTTGATTTTCCCTTTAAACAAGATACTAAAAGAATCTTTCCTTGAGTTCAGGTTTTCGATGGCAGTGTACATCTCCTAAGTCAACCGGCAGTCTGCAATCAGCTTCCGTTACATTTATGATGTTGCTTGGTCTTCTCCGTGTGTTCGCTAAATTTGTAAATTACAAAGAAATTGGCATAAAAATGGTAGGATGATGTACTGATGTGAGGGAAAATTAGTGAGAATTGCTCATTCATTTCAACTACGTACCGTACAACGGATAGACGAAGGCGAAAACGAGCGCAAACCACATCGATTATTTCAACTCTGAAATAGCGGTTTTCTTCTAATGGATTCTTTCAGAATAAATTCCAAAGATGAAGCACATGATTGACGGCGTAAATATGCTAATGTCCTCCATTATATGTCTTACTTGCGAAATTATGTGCACAAGTTGTTGTACTCTATTGGCGAATGCAAATGGGAACATCGATGGGTTCGGCCACTCAGGCTGATTTAGTACTGCTCTACTTGCCTCATCGTAATTGTTTTTCTCGTCAAGCCTAGATTTTCAACAACCAATAGGACTCGAAGAGGTGGCCCCAGAAAATTTCGAAAGCACTGACTTCGCAAAAAAGTACGACAAGCTTAAAAACAGATGAACACACGTTGAAATGAACAGAATTACTGATGTTAACCAATGCACCATCGCACGTTTGATGCAGGATGTTGCCATCATTCAGAATTTGAGGGCTGTATAAGCGGAAAGCAGAGCTGAGGCAATTGAAAATTTTCTTTGGATTTAAGGTATGCAAAATGCTTGTCCCCTCAACTGGCGCCAGTGGAGAATGCTAGGCCTTCGATCTAGTGGCATACCGAGTTGGGGGAGCCACTCCCTCCCTCCCCCGAGAAAGGGTCGAGAAATTTTTGAAAATTACTCACTTGCGTTATGAAAAGCTCAAATAACTTGTTTATCCTTGTAAATAATTAAAATGATTCCTTAAATTCTTTGAAAATTAGATAAGCCTTATAAAAAAGTTTTTGGGGACGTGGCTGCCACCTGGGGTTATAGGATCGCTAAAATTTTCAGAAGCATATCAAAAAAATTCTTGGTGTGGATGGCTGACGCCATGCGCTTTTACCAGAAAAATTTCGTCTCCCTTCCCTCCCCCTAAAGGAGATTCCTGTACGCCATTGCTTTCACCATAATAACTTCTTCACAATTTTTCACAAAATATTCTTCATTGCGTGCGCCATTTGATTATCTTGTTGCACGATTTCGAATTCTTGAGTTTGCACCTAGAGAATGTGAGCTCAAATGTGTTGCTTTTGGAAAGAATGAGATTGATATTTCACAAAGTCTACAGGGAAGAAGAGGTGGGGGTAAAAGTGGGGAGGGGAGGATTGAAAGTGATGTAAAGGGCGTGAAATTAACATATATCTATCTCGATTTATTGAATGGCATCCAGAAACGAAAATGAAATGTTATCAGCCGCTAAAAAACCTGCTGCACATCTCGGTGTAAACAATGGCAGTAAAGCTCATTTTCATTCCCGGTGAAGAAAATGTGCTCATTCGAAACAAAGACAAGCTCGTGCAGGTAAAGGAGGGGGAGGGGACTTGAAGCAGAAGATAGCAGCAGGGGAAGGGAGCAGAAGACATTGGGCATGCATGGTGTTACGTAGAGGGGCTGAACCTTAACGGAAAAGACGGAAAGGAAGAAACATTACGGCTTTCTTCCATCCTCCTGAAACCTATGACCCGAGTTGAACCGAGAGAACCAGCTAGTGACTTACACAATGACGGGTAGTTTTGCTTTTGGGAGGGGGCTGGGTATGAACAAAAACTTTGTAAAGTGGCGGATCGGACTAGGTGTAGCGCTGCCCGAGGCTTCGCAACTAGACACTACTGAATCAAATATCAAGTACATTTTTTTTGAACGTATCTTGTTGTGCTAATATCTGTACTTCATGGAAACGATTCCTTCGATTTTTTCATGCATACACTAAATTCCAATACCATTATTGCGCATCTCAAACGCAAACGTATGCTAAAGGGCAGTCTCGCCTGATCAGTGTATTTGTGATAAAACATCTCCGTACTGCGCTAATCATCTTCTAATAATATAAAATAGCAAGCGAAAATTCAAAAATAATGGAAAAGCGGGAAAGCGAGCGGTGGTCCCGGCGCGCGCGCCCTGTTTTTCACGTCTGCCACCGCTCGCTTTCCCTTAACTGTTTAATATTCTTTCTTTGTTTTGTCTTCCTTTCTCTCTCTCTCTCTCTCTCTCTCTCTCTCTTTCTCTCTCTCTCAAAGGTTTTTCTCCCCATCTGTTGTGTATACTGTTCACCTAAGTTTCATTGCAGAAGTTTATCGCTCCGAAAGCGATCAGTCCGGTTGCCACGAGGAAGGAAGCGTATGAAATGCAGATCAACGGTGTTTTACTGTTGATTATAGAATTCATCTTCGTTTTTAGTGTTACTCAGTCACAAGTTCGCTTCATGCTTTTAGTCCTTCAGTCTTGTTTTTCTTTTCATCCAGAGCTGAGCATGCTGACCCTTATAACGACGTTTTTCGTCTCTACAATGTAGCACGGCCTGGAGCGGAACACATCATTCCGACTTTTCACCGAGCGTGTTTCACGTTATAGACGCCGCTCTATTGGGCGATGGGCCCTCACACAGGTAGAACAGGGTCCGATGATTGAGACTAATGATTACGGCGCTGGTAGGGCTGGCAAAGATGTTTTGAAGAATCAGTCAGTTTGTCCATAATCGAAACAAAACTGAGGAAGTAACCTAAGAAGGTCATGTCTTGAAAAAGATCGCTATGTATAGAACTTACTATACTTATTATACTCTTCTCCCGTAACTCAAAATTATTATACTCATGCGCAATTACCTTCGAGATCTTCCTCACTAGAGAAACATGGTTTTTTTTTGTTGTTTGACATGCAGAAACATATTACAATTTTCGCGAATAGACTGTTACAATCAAACCCTTATGAAACTTTTTTGATTCTGCGCTGTCATTTCCACCTTTTTGTTTGTTCAGGCCCAGATAGTAACTGTAAACAACGAATTTTCTGGCCACCCGTGGGATTTGATACGCTGAAACAAAAATGCGTTAAAATTGTATTAGGTGTCTGAAAGTTCGTGCCGTTTTCCAGAGCTATCATTGTTCAGATTGATGTTAGGCAAATGCGCTAAACAGTGTTCGATGCGAGGTACTCTTCCGAAGAAATGGCAGCACCTTAAGCAGTTGTGCTTATGCGGACTTTGCGTTGTCGTGGCATGTACTATATGGTAGTGTATGCGTTTTTCAGCGATACGGACTCATCGTTTGCCCCTCGAAGGTGTGCCTATAGGTACGTACCACTATCAATTCGCTGCTTTCCGCTCCTTCGACATGTTCAATTCAGGCAGTCAAGGTGGTTTGCAGGTTAAAATGTGAAAGAAGCGAAAGCCAGCGAGTTGATGCGAGCAGTAATGTCTATGGGCACATCACTGGGGAACAGACTGTCTATTTTGCGCGCTACAAATGAAGGGCTGGAAGAGCACGCGTACACCCTACATTCCAGTAAAGCTGTCTCGTCAATGTATGACACTACCTTTTAGCTGCATGCAGCTCGATCCTCCTATGTCGATCTATTTTTGCCAATACAGTCAAGGAGCCATCTTATCAAAATTTGGGTATCACTAGATGCTATATTGACTGCATCTGTACCTTTGGAGTAACACTACTTGTGTTCCTAGGCTGCCAGCCTTATTTGTGGTATTTTGAATCTGGTGCTACCAAGGAGGCTACTCTTACCCGTCTGCACAGGTTGTCACAAAGGCTGACGGCATTGAAGAGGCGGCCAAATGATGAGCATTCGCGGCAAATGCTATCAAATTTATCAGTCCAATCTATACTTCGATATTGCTGGTTTGCGCTTGTCGTTTAGGCCTCGGGCAGCGTTCACGCAACTTCATCTAATTACTAGTGTTTCTCTAAACAAGACAACAGTTACAAGTCCATTGCATGACGGTTATCTTGCATTTCGGTTGTGATTGTTAGTCACTATTAGTCTTGTCGGAAAACTATCACAACCGAAATGCAAGATGATCTACATGCATTAGACTCGTAACTGTTGTTTTGCTGGAGATCATCTTGCTTCACGGTTGTGATAGTTTGGAGAATCGCGAGGCAATAAAATCGCATGAACTCTGCCCGAGGCCTTATGCGTGTGTGGAATTTTGACGAAGCTTTGGTGCCGTCTGCATAAGAAAGCTGACTTTGAATGAACCAAAACAGTAACTGTATCCTGGAAATGTGCAAGACATGGTAAGCGTTTTACGATCTCTCTCAGACAAAAGATTTTTAAGGTCATCTTACAGGGCAGTTGTCAGTAGGTCACAGCGCGCAACAATTATTCGATGCATTTTCGACAGATTTTTGGCAGGTATTCTTTCGGTGCTATTCGGCTATCCGGGCCCCAAAAATTTTTCGTCATGGATTTTGCTAATACTTGGCCCAGGGGAGTTATTCAGGTCGCTGATCACAGATATAGTACTGGTTTTGCACGGTAGCGTCATTTTCCAGGGTTACGGTGGGTATACGGTAGGAGGCCAAAATCGTGGATTTCGCTCAAAATCGGTGTAGAGGGGTTATTCGACCCGCTGATGCCGAATATCATACTGGTTTTGTACGGTAGCGCCCTTTTCTGGGGTTACGGTGGGTATACAGTGGGGGTCAAAGTCGTGGATTTGCCTGAAACTTGGCGGGGGGGGGGTAATTTGCATGCTGATCTCCAATATCTTGTTTTTACCTCACGAAAACGTTTTCCTGTGTGGATATGGTAGCTATACGGTAGGGCGTACGATGCGCGGTAAATGGGTGTATACCAAGAGGCGCGATTCTTATTGCCAGATGGACACCAAATGGCACATAATAAGTGCTTTATAACATTCTAAGAGTATCTAAATTTTAGAAGGAGATATATTAGACAATGGCACGGGTAGCTCAATCGTGCTAACTTGAAATCAATTTGAAACAGCAATTTTGAAGGTCAGAAACCCATGAAAATGCAGTTAGGAACAAAATTGTAAATATTTCGGTCCGTTTTTCATCAAAAGCGACGAAACTCAGCAAGCGGTAACCTCAAACCGATAGTAAGCCAATGCGCTTTATCCGGTACTTTTTGAAGAATCGCATAGCACTAAACTGGAGTTTTGAGTTGGTGACAGCCAGAGAAATCGCGCCTCTTGACCGTCTCCCGCGGTAAATCATCCTCCCCTGTGTTTGCTTAGGCAAAGCCACCGCAGAGTGTGCCGCGCGCCGCGATGGTCCT